GTCATTCTTATTGTCCAACATTTTTTTCCAGATTTCCAATTTGTTTGACATAGAACTTAATCAAACACATCAATTAAGTTATGACCGGGGCCGACACATAAGTCAAAACAAAATAATCAATGGGCCCAAGATATCGCTCTATTCCTTCAACAACTAAAAAGAACAGATAAACTTCAACTCATATGCTTGTACTAACTACTCATTAAATTGTACACAACACATTTTATAGCATCAAGTTACTGATGCGGTTTCTCACTATCAGTGTAGAAACAACTCATAGTCAAAAACTCATATCTCTTGGTTTGAAGACTTATATGATATTATTATCTCACGATGACTCGAGATAAATTCCATGAAGTGATACAAGTGAGCGTGGGTTTAATCAAATACTCAGACCTTATGAGCACTCATGAATGTTGTAGCAATCTTTTTATATGTCTAAGCAATTTAGACATCTACAAGCCAAATTCATGACAATGTTGCTTCAATACCTACTTCCAAAGTATGATCGATTGTGCATCGTTTGAATAATTTAATTATTATGGAAGTTAAAACATGTAAAGTGAGACAATAGTAAATAATTGACACAAGATAGTAACTTTACTTGTAAATAAAACACCTTTTATTTAATCATCAAATGTCAATTACAATTTATCTATTACAAGTTTCAAAAACTATCTAATCATCAAATCTAATATCGTCCCTTAGCCCGATGCGCCTTGCATGCTGTAAGTGCTTAATCCTACTCAATCCCTTCATGAAAGGATCTACTAGGTTCTTTGGCGATAAGCTCTTTGCTACGAGGAGTCCTTGTATCCAGTGTCTAATGAAGTGATATATTCGGTCGATGTGCCTAGATCTGCCATGATCCCTTGGTTCTTTGGCTAAGGCAAATGTAGTCTAGCTGTCACAAAAAATCTCTATAGGCTCCTTTATAGCTAGTACACCTCCAAGGTCTCGGATGAAGTTCTTCAGCCATAACGTCTCCTTCGTCGCTTTGCATGCTACTATGTACTCTAATTCACACGTTGAATCAGCTATAGAATCCTGCTTGGAACTTTTCCAAGTGATTGCTCCCCCATTAAGGTTAAATACCAAGACCAACTAAGACCGGAAATTATTTCTTCTGGTTTGAAAGCTGGCATCACTATACCCCACCAATCTCAAGTCATCGCTCCCACCGAGGGTAAGGACCCAATCCTTAGTCATCCGTAGCTACTTGATAATGTTCTTTAGCACAGTCCAGTGATCCTTACCAGGATTCCCTTGATATCTGTTGACCATGATCAAAGAAAAAGCCACATCACGACGAGTACAAGTCATAACATACATGATTGTGCTAACAGCGGAAGCATGTGGTCCTCTCAACTATCCTAGCCTCTGTCTTCGGACTCTGAGTCCTATTCTGTCTGGCATTGCTTTGGATCGGTAAGTTACCTTTCTTTCAATCCCTTATGTTCAACCTTTTCAAAACCTTTTCCAAGTAGGTATTTTGACTAAGTCCAATTAGTCTTTTACTCCTGTTGCTCAATATCCTTATTTCAAGAATATAGAAAACTTCATGGACGTCCTTAATAGCCACTACACGAAAAACACGATTTTCTAGGGGAGGTCACTATGGATTTTATTTCTGTTAGCAAGAATGGGACTTGCTAGGAAAAAGATACCGACTCCATATCCGTTGGTATTATGATACCGATACTTTTATGGACTAAAACTTCATAGCAAATTTCCAACAACAGTTGTTACGAAATCACTTTCCGTTGTATAGCTGCTATGGAATTAATTATCGTGGTTACTATGCAACGGACTTTGTGATGGAAACCAACTCCATAGTTGATTTGCTATGTAAGTAACATTTGTAGGTATTTTGCTAGGGAATTCTGATATGGAATATGTTTTCGTTTTCTTGTTTTGCTATGGAACAAAATGCGTAGCTAATTTGCAACAACATTCATTGGGATATTGTATGCTTAATTAATTTTCTTATTCTATTGATGATTTATTATTATGATCAATGAAATTTGTAAGATATGGTTTGAATGAATTTTTTTGAATTTGTAATATGTGGCATAAACTAATGGCTAAAAATTTAAAATGAATTATAACAGTAGATATTGCTGGCAAGCGGACTCGAACTTATGCTTATCCTAGAAAAGGGAGCATTTAAGCCAGCTGTGCTTATCAAGTTGTGTATAATTTCTTGAAAAACATAGTATATAATGACTAATTAACATTATGATTTTATTAGAACTTAGGCCCTATTTTTTCCGGGGCCTATGCGGTTGCACCTCTTGCACACCCTTAAAATTGGGCATGTTAAAGTATATGATATATGTAGATTATTTTCCTTAGTAACGAATTCAATACAAACTTATTTTTAATTCCATTAACTATACTTCATCACAAAAATAACATAGGTTTTACGTATACTTCATCCTACTCAAACAACATAGCAAGCAAAAATGACTAAAATTCCCTTTTAACATAATGACATAAACATAAAACCAAAATAAAATTATTGTAGTATACCACTACATATAAAATACAATATGAACACTAATATTCAATATCTAATCTATTATCAACCATTTATATGTTTAAGAAATATACAAAACTACCATACTCTATATACCAACGACAAACCATGCAATATCTTTGTCAATCCTCATCCTCTTCTTGGCCTATTGCAAATGCAACTTTAACAAAATGTCGTGTGTCTTCACATTGGAATGTGATGTTATTCGTTGTAAGTCTATGAACAACATCAACATCCCACAACAACTCTTTGGCACTATCAACAACACCCGAGTACTCTCCATCATCCGGAACTGCCCAACCAAAATAGGTATCAAGTAATTGTAAACCAACACATTAAAGTATCCATCAGTTAATCCAATGTATCCTTTTCAGTACAATAGTAAATATTATACAACATAAAACAACTAAATAGTAACTCCAAACTATAAACATGCCTTAATTAACTATATATATAATTTAATTTACATATATACCATGTATAAATACCTTCATCACATTGACGAGGTCCTCTTGAAATGTAGATCAATACAAGCAAATAAATTGCCTCAAGATGATCTTCATCTACTTCTTGTCTCAACAAAGTCTATCCTAAATCAAAATTTTCATAATAAAAGCACTCATCCTGTTGACAGAATAAACATATCAAGATATAACATCAATGACATTAAATATTAATAAATGGTATAGATTACATATAATTACTATGCAATGCGCACGTGTGTATAAATAAACCAACTTTCAGATTTTTGGGACCCATTCCTTCAAAGATGTTAATGCATGCTGCTTTGTACACTTGAGGATTACCCCCCACTTAATACATCTTCTTTGTACTTAAAATTTTTAAATACATAGTAAATAACAAATAAATAAAGTTGTATTTCATCAAATATACATTGATTAGTAGATGTTTATTGTGAATTATGAATGTCTTGCAAAGACAACGTCTTTCACAGACTCTACCACTAATACTACAAATATTCGACTCAAAATCTATAGCGGGAGATCATCTAACGAACGCTGACTTCTGGTATTTGATATTCTATCTACAAAATACACATTGAAGTAATTGATTTTCATTTTTTTAAAATTAAGTGTAACTATGAAAGACAGTGTAATAGGGTGGAAAAACAATACCTTTATGACGATCTGGTCGTGAGGAGTACAAGTATCTCTATTATTGGAGAAAATCATTTTTAAAAAAGATTATCCTTCGACGATTTGGGGGTTTTAGTGTTTGTATGCATATTTATCATGCCGAAAAGTTAAGATGTTCTGAATGGTTGAAGAACTGAAACCCCGACGGGACGTCAGGGTATTTGTGTCGAAATACATTATTCAAATATTATGACCTTTATAAATAGGTAACAATGGACTTTTGATTATTCAAAGGAAAAAGACAAATTTAACATATATGTCATAATGCATAATGTTATACATTTATATTAACATTTCACCAAATTACTAGTATATGTCCAGGTATTAATGCGTGTGTGTGTGTGTGGATATATATATATATATATATATATATATATATATATTAAAAGTGGAACAAGATTTTAACAACAAACTTTTTTACTTTAGATTTCAGACATAGTAGTTTTCTTTTATTGCCACTTTTAGTCTCTATGTTTATGCCTTTACAATTTTACCTCATGCAAAGCATGGGTTCTCCACTAGGTCATATTAAACCAAATTACCAAATAAAAAATAAAATACATGTATGTTTATGCCTTTACAATTGTATTTCATATGTATTTAATACTAGGAAAGAACAAACATTTGCTACATACAACTATAATCACAGTACAATACAAACACTCACTACAAGAAAAAGACCCTTTTACAACATGCAAACCACGACACTCATTGATTTATATTACACAAAAGAGAGTGACACTAAAAAAGTGTCATCTCTTAAAAAAATTTAAGGATTTAGGTCACACATTATTGCGTGCCCTTAAATTAGTGTCATAAGAAAAAAAATTAAGAACACGGAGGGCACTGTATGTTAAATGGGCGTCTTCTATAAGTGTCGCTTTATAATTTTAATGAACGCGCGTGTTTAGTAGATACGGGAGAAAATGAAATCCCCAAAATTTTAAAAACCCGCCTTGTTTTTTTCTACTTTCTATCTTTCATCTTCGCAATCCATTCTCCACTCTCCCTCCTCTCCTATCCGCTTCACCACCATTGAACCCTAAAAAACCAATCCACACTTCATGCTTCTGTGATTCTCTCCTCTTCGGGTCTCCAATCTCCGATTTCACTCTAAAAACATCGATGGAAACCACCTTCAAGCACGATGCCTCTCAGCTACAAATCCAGAACAAGAACATACATCACTCTCAAACACCCCCCTTAGCTTCTTCATTATTCTCGATGTCGTGTGGTTTCTAGGGCTCGAAGCAACCTCCTCTATCTTACATTGAAAATCATTTCCCCATCCCATCACTAACCCTTTTGGAGCTATTACTAGGGTTTGAATCAACATTTACCCTTGTCAACAAGTCGGCCTTAAAATCCCCTGGAACGCCTCACATGTTTCCTACTATTTTAGCCGTGATTCATTGGCTTGTACATATTGCAATGTATAACGAGCACCTTGCAAATTCCACGCAGTCACACTGGATTTCTGGTGACAACATGTTCATCTATACTCTGAATACTTACCTGCTTTACATAAAAGGTAACGACGATGCAATTGAAAGGGAAGATGAAAATTTCATGGAGAAGTTACACCAGGTATTAATCACTTTTCTTCGTATAATCAAAATACCTAAAAATTAGTTTACTCAGGCTAATTTGGGTTCCTGAAACGCTGATAATAGGAGAAAATCTCTTTTGAGGAGAATATATAGGTCAAATCAGGAGATTTGAAGGATTTGGAGGCAAAACTAGAGACAATGAAGTCTGGGCAATCAGAGTTCGATCCGGGAGGAAACAGTGTTTTCCTACATTCATGGTACTCCTTCGGCTCAATTTCAAATTGACTTGCTCCACTGTTTTCGTAGGCTTGAAACCCATAATCTCTATAAACCTTCGATGTTTCATGAGAAACCCAATAACTCTTCCCCATAGTCACAGGGATTGCTCTATCAGCCATGATCCATGTTCTAAATGTTTCGTTCCCAATCATGGTACGTTATCGTTCCGATTGTCGGCGGAAACGTACTTCGGTACGGAAACTCAACGACCCCACTAAATGGCAAAATCGATTGCTGGAACGTGTTTTTAGCGAACGGATTTGATCTAATACGTGATTGGGATCGCCAATTTGGAGTTTGGGTTGCCAATTTTGCGTTTTTGGAATGCCGATTTGGTACCCTGGTACCAACGTTTTGTCTAATTGGTCTCAAAATCTACCAGTTTTGCTATTGATTTTTTATTTTCCTTATAAATTAGGATTCGATTGAAGCAACTGGTATGATTGAATTTATTGATTATACTCAATTTATTGATTTCAATCGGTTCACAACTTCACATTATTTAATGAATCACTTAATTGATTTCAGATTTCAAATGGTCATTAGGCGATTTCGCATCTGCAACTGATTAGAAATAATTAATTTGTTGGGTCAAGGAATACATGGCCGAATTTTATTGTTTAGCACACAATCTTAATTTCAAGTTATTAATGTTCCTGCTTTTTTTTTACTATTCCTGTATGGTGTTAATGTTCTTGTTGTTGATTTTACTTTTAGAAAAAGATCTTAAAGCTGGAAGGGGAAATTTCATACATTCCAGTGGTCAGGGATATTAACAACAAACGTGCGAATGAAGAAGGTAATCACTACTTTTTGGGTGATATTTCTTTAGGCATGCCTTTATCTTTACTACTTCCATTGTGTTCCCTTTGTCAATACTAAACTCCTGCCATGATTAAACCTTTGAGAATGTTTTTATTACAGTGAGCTTCAAATATCAACAAATGGGTTTTCTGATTTGAGTGTTGTGGCAGAAAGTGAATTAGGGGTTGTTTTTCTTGTACCATGTTACCTCTTAATATACCAATTATTTTATAACTTTTTTTGCTTTATATAAGTTGAACTTTTTTTAATGCTCTTTTTGGTAAGATTGAATGAATTAATAACTACTGGAGTGAAGGCAGCACAGACAAATGGATTATCTAATAAAAACCATGGATGGTTGATGGGGCTGGACTTCCACTTAATGTTGCAGACCTTCTACCTACACTGGTAAAATATTTATTTAATAGGTAATTTAGGCTGGAAAATATTTAATATTTATTTAACTAGTTTAATATGTGATTACTAGGTAAAGTTGACTAAAAAAGTTACTGAACAAGTGAGACTTCTAGCAGGTCACTACGTACCCCAACTTGCTTCTCTCATTCTCTCAGAAAACAATAAAACTAACGGAACAAACATTAATCTTCGTGGGATTGCGGTAAGTAGTTAGAAAACGAAATAAGACAAAACAAGTCTTGTTACATGTAACAGATGCCACATAAGCACGAATATAACTAATGGGTGTTTTGTATTGTGATTGTGCAGATTGGGAATGATGTGATAGATGACAATGCAACTGGTGAAGGGATTTATGATTACTACTGGACACATGCTCTAAACTATGATGAGACAAATGAAGGGATCAATGAGTATTGTGGCTATGGTTCTGGGAATTTCTCAGCAGAGTGTCTTCATTATCAAAGCCAATCAGGTAGTGAAAATGGTGAGATTGATATTTACAACATCTATGCACCATTCTGTGATGGAAGTATCCAGAAACATGCCACTAGATCTGTAAGTCTGCAATTCCTTTCAAATACAGGAAATTGCAATGTACTTTTGTTTGAAGACATGATGTGTATAATTTGGTCAAGAACATTGATCCTTGCTCTGATGATTATTTCTTGTCATATTTGAATCGATCAGATGTGCAAGAAGCTCTTCATGTTCAAAATACCTCATGGGTATTTTGCGAGTACCTTTTCTTTTCTATCTCGAAAACTAGGATTCCATTATTCCATAATAAACAAAATCAATGAAATTATGTTGTTGTTTCTTGTATTTAACTCATGATTTTATGTGCAGTGGTATTGGAATGATAGACAGCCCAACACCCATTTTGCCTACTATCACTCAGCTTATTGAAAATGGAATAAGTGTTTGGATATACAGGTAACTCAATCTAGTCTAACACCCAATCAATTATTTTCTCATAATGGCCTTATTTTCTCAGTTATTTATTAAACATACACAAAAGAAACATACATTTGATTCATGATGAATTGGCAGTGGTGACACGGATGGATGGGTCCTAGTAACATCCTCAAGGTAGGTACTTTGTAAAACAAGTTGAAGCTTCTAGTAGAGACTACTTGGAGACCATGGTACAATAAAAAAGAGGTACATAGTGATTTGAAGTCTCAAAAATTAAATATATAAAAATATATGTACTGTAATACCCAAATTTAATGTGTGATAGGTTCTAGGATATGTAATTCCCTAATAGAGTACCTCTTGTGGGTAGTTCAGTAAAACCTGATGTTCTAGAAGAGGAAAGAGAAGGTATTCTCTCATCAAATTTTGATTAATAAATAGCAATGTTTAATGTTAATAGAAATCTTGTTGGTTTATAATGTCATATTATTAGTTTAAAAAAAAAATAATGTGAGTAGGTGATTTTGGGAGGTCACAACCTGCCTGTGATGCACTGTCAAAAGGTGCTTGGTATATATCAATGTATTATCAAAAATGGTCGTGGAAGTAACAGTTCCCCTTGTTAATATCCTTAAGATTTTCTTTCTTTTTTGTTTAGGTCTTGAAGAGAAAAATAGATGTCCAACAACTCCGGTGGTATGGCTACTGTTTATTTTCCATGATACCAGTTAACATTTGGTATGAATCCCTAGAACCCTAGTTGAAGTGCTAGAAGGGAAAAGTCTAAGAGACAATGGCTGGAGGAACTGGCTAAAATTTCAGAAAAGGTAAGCTATATTTTAAAGATGATTGTTAAAAAAATTAATAGAAACTTGATATTTCATGTTATTTTTATTTCTTCCAATCTCAATCTGCAGCCTTATACTCATGTAACCAGAAATGTCTAAAGACAAAAACAAATATAAATATTCGTCATTTTTCCAATCCTCAAACTGAAGCCTTATTTCCTCCAATGTATATTTTCTCAATTTTAGCTAAAGCAGGATCATCTAGATGGTCCCTCTCCTATCCTTTTTCCAGTTCTGCCCTTATAAACTAATATAAATATTCGTCATCATCATCATTGTTTGTTTTTTTTTTTGTTTTTTTTTCTTTCAGAGGTGAGCAAACAAATGTTGGAACTGTATGAACAAAACAAAGTGGCACTAGCTTAGACAAGTGAAGTGGTTGACGGGACTACAGGTGGCGGGTGAATCAAAAGGGGGTTGCTGCCACGAGAGCTGTTGGATATTTTTTGATGAAATGCTTTGGTTAGATATTTTTTTTCCATAAAAGACTAAGTGAATTGCTTGAATTCTAGAGAATATAAAGGTTGCAATTTCAGGTAATTGATTACAAAATGTGTCTCATAGAGGCAGGAAAGTAATACATCAAACAAGGGTAAATAAGCAATTTGGTAGCATCAAATTAGTCGCTAAAGAATCAAAAAATCATAAGAAATTTTACCCTACTTATCAATCTAATAATCCTATAATGGAAATTATAAGTTGGTTAATAAAAAAATACATTATAATAATGAGTTTTTTTTAATTGTGGGGTTACATACATTGGTAGATTTGGGCCAGATATTGCATTAGTTCGAGAGGAATTTGGTAGAAGGTCAGCAGCAAGTATGTTTAGTGGGAAGAAACCTGTTGCAACTGCTGTGAGTCTCTCAATTGCATCAATTCAAACTACATTTTGTTATTTTGTAGCTTTGAATACTGATTGAGGGTTAGTCTTGGACCTGTTGGAGACTTGGTGTTAACATCTCGTGTCAGAAATACAAACACAGATCGAAAACCATTTTCTTTCATTGTTGCATGTAAAACCTATTTTTCTGTTTCAGATATTAGGTATTAAGTTTTTTCGTTCTTTTCCATATATATATATATATATATATATATATATATATATATATATATATATATATATATATATATATATAATCATGTTAGAATTTGGTTAATATTAGTTCCTATCAAATGGACTTAATATCATGTTTTTTATTATTGCATCATCTTAGTTGTTCCCAATAGAATGGTGTAGCTGTGTTTTCAAAAAGGATTCCATTCACTTGTTTCAGTGAAATCTGTGTAGAAGGATTGAAGACACTGAAATTAAGCACAAGGTACAACCAACATTCAAGACTCTTATTTCAGATCAGATCACAAATTCACAATATATTTATGTGTCTTTGTTATACGTATAGATACGGAAGGTAGATCCGATATGGAACATGGAGGCTGATGTTACAAACATATTCCAGTAAGAAACAGAGTTAGATGATTATTTGATAGTTTTATAGGAATGTATAACCCATGTTAGCATTGTATTATTTTTGTTTAACATTTGAATGATTATTTGTATGACATATTAAAATTTGTACAATTTATTTTATTTTTTGTGTATGAAATTTTATTTTATATTATGCAATGGATTGTATTTTTTGTGTATGGTATTTTATTTCTATTATGATACATTAAATGAAAATTTAATTTAAAATCTATAAATAATATATTTTTTTAAACATTTAAAATTATGATACGCAAAAATGTGTGTTATCTTCATTTATGACATGGCCTTTCTTGATAGGGGCTTTCTTGATAAGCATTGCATGTCATTAACACGCGCGTCATAAGGTTACGACACGCAAATGCGTGTCGTCTTCCTTTATGACAGCGCCTTCCTAGATACGCATTGCATGTTGTAAACGCGCGTGGTAATTGCGCGTCATAAATGAGCGTCATAAATGTGCGTCGTTTATAGACGACGCGCAAAAGCGTGTCTTCTCTCTTTATGACAGGGCCTTCCTTGACGCGCATTTTCACGTAGTCTAAGCCTTTTACGACGCACAATGAGCGTCGTAAAAGGCTGTTTTTCTAGTAGTGACTAATATTAAAAGTCCAAAACACATTATTCAGACATCATTCAAACATCAATGCAAACTTTTACTCTTTTAGTACCTTATTAGCAACACAACATATTTACTAATCAAGTAACAACATCATGTAATTACTTATCAAGTAAATTACTATATATTCGTATATTAAACCAAAAGGATGTAAATGACATTAATTGTCATAACATGAAAGTACATATTAACAAACTACTCATAAAGTATACCAAACTCCCTAGAAAACCCGATGAAGCAAATATCCCTAAAACAAATTTCACACCTAAACACCCATTTGTATCCATTCAAAAAAGCGTCTGACACACTAATTACAGACTTATGCATTGCACAAGTTCTATGGAAGTCATGGAAGTGTACATGTTTTCTCCCCTCCCTATTTATGTTGAGATGAACATTAGAACCAGTTGCTCTAAGATTCCACTTACCGTTTGCTCTGTAGTAAGCATTGTTCAACATGTCTAAACCTTCTTACTCTCTATGTCTCCCTTCAGCCATCACCATTATTCCCAGGACAAATGTTGAATCCAAATGTCGTAATGCAGATTCTTCTTCAAGCATCATTTTCCATTGATGATCAACTTCTAAGAAAAATAACTTCATCTGAAGAAAAACATTAAACACATAATTTCTAGTTAAAATAATACAAAACAAGAAACAAAATTAATTAATACTATGCATATATATAAGAATGTACCAATCCATTCATGAACATAATATTTGGGTTTCTCATCTCTATGAAATTATTAACAACTGTATGTTTCTGGTCAGACCAACCACGAAATCGTAATCCGTCTACCTTTATATGTTTATATACTTCATCCATTTTTACTACCTCTTTAAAGAATCTACAACTACAAATGAAACACAACATTCACTCCAAAATGTAAAGACAACACAAATACACTTGTCAAATAGAATGATCGAAGACGAAATTTACACACTCATCTTCCTGAATGCCTCGACTGCTGAAAATTTTCCCAAGTCGACTATTATTTTCTCCATCACTTCCAATAGCATGATTGTTAGTGACTTCCTTTGATTTCTTGATTGCATCTTCGAAGAAGTACTAGATTTTATAATAATTAACCTTCACTAAGATAACGATTCTGCAAAAATGATCTTAGGATTTTTTAACTGTCGGAATTTTAAAATTTGGGTTGTTTACAAGTGTCTGAAATAAGAGTGAAGAACTGAAACAACGTGTTTTGTTGGAAAACATTATGATTCCTACAAGGTGTTCCATTATAAAATGACCAAATCATCCTCATAGATACAATGAATCATATTTAATTAGTAAGGTTACTTTTGTCAAAAGTCATAATTAAATAAAAAATCAATATCTATTTTAATACACAACCGTCGCAAATGATATATGTTGACCAATGACCAATATGTCATCCATGGACACCATAAGCAACTACCATGTTGACCAATGACTCGTATATCATCCATGGACACCATAAGAAACTACCATGTTGTCTAATGACCCATATGTCATCCATGGACACCATAAGCAACTACCAAGTTGACTGATGACCTGTATCTCATCCATGGACACCATAAGCAACAACCTTGTTGACTTATGACCTATATGTCATACATGGACACCATAAGCAACTACCATGTTGACCAATGACATGTATGTCATCCATGAACACCATAAGCAACCATAATGTTGAACAATGACTCCTATGTCATCGATGGAGACCATAATCAACTACGATGTTGACCACCGACCCATATGTCATCCATGGACACCATATGCAACTACCATGTTGACCAATGACCCATATGTCATCAATGGACACCATAAGCAACTACCATGTTGACCAATGATGCATATTTTATCCATTGACACCATAAGCAACAACCATGTTGACCAATGACCCTTATGTCATCCATAGACACCATAAGCAACTACCATGTTGATCACCAATGACCCTTATGTCATCCACGGACACCATAACCAACTACCATGTTGACAAATAACTCAAATATCTTCTAAGGAAACCGTACGTAACTACCGTGTTGACTAATGACCCGTATGCCATCCATAGATACCATAACCAACTACCATGTTGACCAATGACCCATATGTCATCCACAGACACTATAAACAACTACCATGTTGACGAATGACATGTATGTCATCCATGGACACCATAAGCAACTACCATGTTGACTAGTGATCCGTACGTTATCCATGGTCACCATAAGCAAGTACTATGTTGACCAATAACCCATATGTCATCCATGGACACCATAAGTAGCTACCATGTTGACCAATGACCCATATTTCATCCATGGACACGATAAGCAAATACCATGCTGACCAATGACATGTATTTCATCCATGGACACCATATGCACTACCATGTTAACGAATGACCCATATGTCATCCATGGGTGATACCACGAGACCATAAGCAACTACCATATATATTCACATGACCTGTATGTCTTTTATATATAAATTTCGGTTTAAACATAAATGTATAAAGATATATAGTTTATTAATGTTTAATCCTCGTTTATAATTTTAAATTAAACTGATACTATGACCACCTCATTACTCTATGTGCTTTCCTAATGTTAGCTACATGTATATACTCAATCTATCAATCTGGAAGTACTTTAATGAATTTGAGTAACTAAATATTTAGTGGTAATTAGCACAGTTGAAAATTTTCATTAGCGGAACTTCAAAATATTTCGCAATTCCTTTCCCTCCTACCTACACACGTTTAGGCTACATATTAGGGTAAGTTTACTGATTAGAAAATAAGGTTTACATTTTTTGTGATCATCATCACTGGCAGCTAATTGATCAAAATCTTTGTTCATTATACTTTTGTGCAGTGACTTTGGCTATATAGGTTAACACTCATGTAAACATTATTTTTATTTCATTTACTGTTATCATGATGATCATTTCTTGTTCTCTGATCATGTTCATGTATATTATCATCTTAAATTACAAGTAAATTGGTTTTGATTGTATTCAATAGTTTGCATGCGTAGTAATACCTTCATATATGATTTATTTTTATTGTTTGTTTCTCTCTTCTCATCAGTAGTTTATCATATTTAATATATTGGTGTTGACAATAGTTTTTTGTTAATTTTTAAGCAAGAAAGATGTCAAACTCAAAAGCAAAAGGAGCATCCAGTGTAAACCCAACTAAATTCATTGCACCACAGGTTATGAAATGCAGCAAGATTTCAATTGCAAAATTCATAAACAGACAGTTACAAAATGAAGAAATCAACTTCCCAATACCAAAAACCACATCCAAAGCACCTATAACATCTACCAAAAAAAACTTTAAACCTATATCATTAACATCAACCATGACTACCACTTCCTCGACATCCACACCGTCCTTAGAAAATGCATCTAAAACTCCAGAAACTAGAACAATACAATCCTAAACAGTTACATCAATAACCAAAACTTTAGCACCTACATCTTCTAAACCATCCTCAACACCGACACCGACTACCACACCATCCACACCTATATCTACTACCACAACCTCAAAACCGGCATCCACACTACTATACTCCACAACTACAGTAACTACCACGCCCTCCTTAAGTAAATCAACTACCACGTCAACATATACATCGATCCCAACATCTACCCTAAAATATACCCCATCAACACCACTTATCCCATAATCTACTCCATCACCAACACAACCAACCATGAATGCATTTGTAGTAGAAAGTGTAGAAGCTGAAAGCATTTCCTCTAAAGAATGTGGACCATATGGACGTCTAACTGTTTATGTTTGGTAAAAAAATGTGATTTACCAATAAATTCTTAATTACAACTATTTCTATGTATAACCTTTTGGTTTACACATACATATCAGTTCATAACTTAACACGTCACATGATTACTTGCAGGCTAATGCCACCATGCCCTTGTGCACTTTTTATTAGTCAGTGCTATTTACAAAGAGTTTATCCACAAGGGTACGCTTGGGGGAATGTAAGCAAATAAATGCACGAATTATATTGGGAGTAGTTTTAGGTAAGTTACTATATGTGATGAATTGTTGTTTGGTAAACATTTACACTTAAAATTATGTTTATATTGTTAATGTGTAAAAAAATGTTGTTGGGAAGAAAGAATAGACTCGTTGGTGAGGCAAGCTTTGGCAAGAATAGTGGCACAATGTTATGGTCAATATCTCTTCAACATGTGGAGCCGAAAAAGAAACAAACATGGATTTACACCAGCTCATATTCCACAGGAAGTCTGGAACTCCTGGAAAATTAAATGGAATACAGATGAATATAAGCTAAAATCTGAGCAGGACAAGAAAAATAAGCGTAAGGGTGTGGCTGATGGAGTAGCAAAACCTACACATACTGCTGGATCCACAAGTCATTTGAAGATAGCTTCAGATTTGGTAATTTTATAATGGTACATCGTATCAATCTTTATATATGTTTATCTGTAAATTTGAAATTTTATAAGGTATTTATGCAAAAGAGGAAATTAG